GAGCCCAGGAGTTGGAAGTTGCTGTGAGCTGTAATGCCACGGCACTCTACCCAGGGGGACAGCTTGAGGCTCTGTCTCAAAAAAAAAAAAACCAAGAACAAGGAACACTTTGTGGGGGCCTATGGATGCAGTGAAGAGAGGCCCTAAACTAGCTGTGTTATGAGCCTGGTATGCAGGCTGGACCCTAGTGCTGGCTCATCCTAGCCTCCACTACACCCATTAGCCAGGTCTTCCTCCTAAATGTGACTTTCAACAGGGAGATTACATGTGTATTCACAATAGGCTCAAATAAGAAAACCTTAAGATGCTTTTCTATATGGGCACCAGCTGCTAGAGACCTGCAGCATGGGCATAGGAATGGGCTTATTTGAAGGCAGGAGTGTTTATGATCTTATTCCCACCTGAACCCCAGAGAGGCATCTTATGTTGATGCCATTGTCTAGCTTAATGAAGTGGGCAGAGGTTTGTGGTGCAGGTGGAAAATCAATTACAAGATCATTGGTATTTTAGCACAGCAACATTTTTATTGCTTTTGAGGGTCTCCCTAGACATCATTCTGTTGCACAGATGTTTTAACATTTGAGAAAATTGAAGGGGGGGCAGGCTTTAGAGGGACAGGGTCCATTGTTTTTTGTGCATCATCTTTGAGCAGCAGTTTCTTTTGAGACAGTTTCACTTTGTTGCCCTCAGTAGAGTGCCATGGCATCATAGCTCACAGCAACCTCAAATTCTTGAGCTCAAGCGATTCTCTTGCCTCAGCCTCCCAAGTAACTGGGACTACAGGCACCTGCCACAACACTGGGCTAATTTTATAAACGAGGTCTCACTCTTGCTCAGGCAATCCACCCACCTTGGCCTCCCAGAGTACTAAGATTACAGGTGTGAGCCATCATGCCCAGCCTAGTAGTTACATTCTGATAGTACTTTTTACTCCTAATTTCAAGAGATCTTTTGAAATCCAAATTAATGGGGCCCCATCAGAAAAATCAAATCCCCACCCAAGAAGACAGAATCCTAATAGCTTAATTAGAGTAGTTGCAGAGAGCTGGAAGCTTGAATCAAAACTAGTTGGAGTATCCCTGTTTGTCTTAAAGCAAGGAGAATGGAGTTATAAATGCTGGAGAGGAGCAGAAGGGTCTCCACATTCTGTGAACTTAGTAAACCCAGGAGACAGGCACCCACTGTGGAGAACTGCATGCGTGGTCAAAGGCTTCTTGCAATTTCTTGAGGGTTTCATCAACGCCATTGTTGACCAGAGACAGGTCAAAGTAGTGAGCATACTGGCTGCGGATGGCTTCAGAATCCCTCTGCAGTTGCTGCAGGGCATCCGTCTACCAAAATTAAAAAAAAAAAAAAAGCACATTTGAAGCAATCCTTAGCACCACCAACCCAGAGAGGCCAGAAAAAGGTTTTAAACAGGCATTTGCTATTACATTAGCATTACTCAGCTCCATATCATCTACTTAAAAGCAAACTCAAGATGCTGCTTGAAAATGTTAACAGTATTGAGAGGCAATCAGTGAGGAACACTACAATTCTCAAACCAACCTTGATTATAAATACTCAGAGCCCCTGGGTGACCAGTATCTACCAATAGCATGAACTTCACTACCTTCCATTTGATGCCCTTTGAACATGGAAGAACCATTTCAGCAACCACCAAACCTGCAATCCCAGAACAAAGATAAAGCTAATTTATAATCCCAGGCCTCCTTTTCTGACCTCAACCCAAGCAGCAATGAGAAGAATGATTGAGCTGGGTGCAGTGGCTCATCCTTGTGATCCCAATACTCTGGGAGGCCAAGGTAAGTGGGTTGCTTGAGTTCAGTCTAGCCTGAGCAAGAGGGAGACCCATTTCCACTAAAAAAAAATAAAAATAAAAATAGCCAAGGCATAGTGGCAGGCATTTTATAGTCTCAGCTACTCGAGGATTGCTTGAGCCCAGGAGTTGAGGTTGATGTGAGGTGGACTGATGCCACAGCACTCTAACTCAGGGTAACAGTAAAACCGTCACCAAAAAAAAAGAAAGAAAAAGAAAGGATCATTTAATTACAAAGAAGTAAAAATGTCTACAAAGCAAAAAACACCAAAAGACATGCCAAGGTGGGAGGGCATTGCAACTGCTATCACAGAGGGCTAATTACCCTAATATAGTTCCTAGAAATGAGATAAAGGGTAATAACCCAGCACATGATCAGATAGATACCTGGACAAAATGTAAAACAAATGGGTCATAATAAGATGAAAATATAGTCTCTTACAGTGAAGGATAAAGTATGAGGTACCACTTCCCTTCTAATAGCCTGGCAAAAAATGAAAGTTCTGACAGCATGCTATAAACTTCACAGGTAGTTGGAAGGACAATAAATTGGTGCTAAAGAAGCTCAATTTGCATATCCCTATCCAAATTTCAAGTGCATATACTCATAGATATGATAATCCTTCTTAAGAGTTTTTCCTCTGGATATGTACAGGGTGGCTACTAATTGCAGTGTTATAATAGCCCATGTTTTAAAACAACCTGAGTGGCCATCAACAGGGCAATGGCTAAAATAAATAATTATATACATGCAGTAGAAGGCCAGCTATAAACAAAAAGCAAGTTTTTTTTGCATGCTAATAGGGAAAGATCTCCGTTCAATGAATTAAGCAAGGTGTAACAAACTACAAGGATGGGTAGACTGGGTAGAGGGGAGTAGGGAGGCTTTTCAATGTATTTCTCACCACAGCCATATCACACTGCAGGGCTTTTCAGTGCTGCCTCTGAATACCACAACTGCCTGCTTGCCCTGCCTGAGCCTGCATAGCATCATTGTCAGGATTTGCTCAATTGTCCACCTCTGGGACAATGACTGGGTCTAGTTTATTTTGTCCTTGTCACCTAGCATGGGCTCTGGCCTAGGCAGTGGTTTAATAACTATTGCATGAATGAAATGTGTATGCCTATGGCTTTCTGGCCTTCAAGGAAGAAGCCCAGGTGGAGCTGAGCTTCACCCAGCACTGCCAATAACTGGAACTGATGTCCCAGTGTGGGCAGACACAGAAAAAGTAGCCCCTGCACTCTATACAACCCCCTCCTTCCCACCTGAGTGCCCTGGTCAGTAGGTGCAATGAACACAATGAAAGGCGAAAGTTCTGCTGTCCGAATGACTTTCAGGGTCTAGAATAGAGGAAGAAAAGAGAAAAAATAGCTATCATAATGGATTTCTTCTTTGCACTTTATCCCAATACTATTTTCGTTTTTTTTTTTTTTTTTTTT